AGGATGGCACTTGCCTTGCAAGGGCTGAGAACCTGCAGGCTTGTTATAGGCAAATTGATAGGTTGTCCTTACTCTCCTGCTTTGGGCACAAACTCGATAAGCTAAGCTTTCTTTTTAGGAAAGACATGACTACATGTAATACTTAGACATAGGATGGCTTGGCTTGGTGTGAGGAAATGGTTCCGTTTTCTGAGAATGGAGTGAGTGGTTGGTCTGGTTGCTTTAGGGCAGAACTGCATGGTGCTAACTGTAAGATGGGATGCCACAATTGGACAGATTTGAAGGAAGAGAGGCCCATGTTGAGCCTCGTGGGTACCAAGATCTCTGCTGGAAGTGCTGTGCATTTCTGGTGCAACCTTATCCTATAGTAGTTACCCAGGGAAAGCTGTGGGGCCTTCTGAGGCTGGCCAAGAGGACCCCTGGTCAGAGAAGGTAGTGTTCAGCTGGCCAGATCAGTGGGCACCATCGCTGCTGTTAACTGGCTGGCACTGGGAATTTATATGGGATCAAATCACTCTACACAGTGTATACTGGTGTAGTTAATCTTCACAACAGACTATTACCTTCATTTTGTTCATGAGGAAATTAAGGCATAGAGAGGTCACATGGGTGATCAGAGAGAAAGCTAGCATTCAAACCAAGGCAGTCTGCCTCCCCAGAGAATGCTTCTAAGCACTCCCTTCCTGGATCTTCCACACCAACCTTACGATGGCAGGATCATCCAGTGTCCCCAAATTGGGATTCTTACATGCAGCTCTCATTGTAATTGGCCAGTTGCAGAACACAGTCTATACACTTTTTCTCCTCCTTAAAAACATCCTCCCAGTACAGCCTGGAAGTTGGCGGTAATGTGCTTTGCTGACAGTAAAGGATTAAATGAAATGCAGCACTCCCCATGGAAAAGCTCTTATGTAAGAGAGCCCCCTTAAGCTACCTCATCTCTCCCTGCACCCATGGCTTGGGTAGCAGAGGGGCTCCTGGTTTATAGGTGCCAGGAAGGGAATAAGCTAGTTTCATTCTTTCTGGCCCACATGAAGTTCAGAGCCCCCGATCCATAAAGGCCTTGGATGTACACTCTTTTTAGCCGTCACTGACAAGCTAGACTGTAAGAAGAGCATTTCCCTAGGGCATCTGTGCATGCAGTCAGCTCTTAACAGTAAGCCTAGTTGGCTTAGGCCAGTAGTTTTCAGTGTCTACTCTGCCTCGCCCCTGACTGCATGGCCCAGTAAGGGCTGTTTCCCAGATGCCTTGATTTGGCTACCTGTTCCTCTCCCCTAGGTAGTTCTGATCCCTCGTCTTCACTAGAAGTTTAAGGGTATGTGAAAAATTTGAGTAAGAAGAGGCAGAGACCAGGAGAGTAATTTTGAATTGTCAGTGAATTTTCATTAGTCATGTTCTTTCTGTCCCTCATTACCAGGGATGAATAAGATGTGCTTTATAAATGATTAGGATGCTTATGCCATTTTGAAAAATTGGGCAGTTTTTCTTAGAATTTATACAAGAAAAACAAGCCCAACATAAAATGCCAAAGCCAAAAAAAGAAAAAAAAACCAAAGGAAAGAAAAAAAAAAAAAAAAAAAAAGATCCAACAGAAAATGCTATTCTGTTCAAACTTATGGCCCATAGGAAAAATTTCAAAAATATTTCTTCAAAGGCCCAGGCAGCAGGTCTCCCACTTAAGCTCTGCAATGGTTATAGGATGTCTCTTTCTCACATACCACTTTGAAATGTTACCCTTCTCATCCTGAATGATCAAATACTTTGCCTTGCCTACTTTGCCTTGCTGTCTCTTTTTGTGGTCCTGAATAGAACTGCCATTGTTCTCCAGCAGGGTAGCTTCAGTGTCATGTCATTCTGGCAAAGGATTGACACAAACCAGTCTTCTTTTGGCCGTTTCTCTTTTGTTCCCTTTCTTAAGAGCTCAAGCTCAGAAAGGTGGTTGGGTTTTCTAGGGTAGGGTGGATCCTGGATGCTTTCTAGTGATCTTTTGGAGGGGAAGAGCCTGCCATTTGGCCACCTGTGGCACCTGGGTGGCAACTGCCATGGTCACCAGTGAAGGGGTGGTTTTCCAGATAATTCTTACTAAAATGCACTCAGAAGAACTTCCCCCCACTCCATTTTGTTTCCAAAGTCAATTTATTGAATATTAAGTCATAAAGCCAGTGATATAATTTTAATGAAAAATATCCTGTATCACTCAAGACTTAAAAGAACAAAAAAATACCCCTTAGAAACACTGCTTTGAAAAATAATCACATTAACTTTGCACACAACAGAGTCCTTTCTTAAGCTTTATTTAAGAAATCGAGTACTATATAGTTCAATATATATAAGACACATCCAGTATTGTGTTCCTGATAGCAAGTGCATAGATTTTGTTAAGATATCATTTTCACTCGATATAAACGTTTCATGGTCACATGTACGATAATATTCCCAGTGATTCTGCCCAAGCATGAGAGGAAAGAACAGAACACAGCAAAAATAGTGAACTACAACAGAAATGGAAAACAAAAACAGTGACTTAGCAGAACAGTCGATTCCTGATAAGTGAATAAGCTGATTGTTTGGTCACAAGGTTTTATTCACTTATCAGGAATGATTCACAGTACACATATGTTCACTGTGTTTCCTAGCCGGCTAGCCTTGTCTGAGCCCAGGATCACACGCCGCTGCGGTAGGCTGCACAGGCGTGTGGTTTCCATCAGCAAGGAGATGGGTTGGTTCTGTGCTTTCCCAGGGTGGTCCATACATGGCAGCGGGTGGGCTTTGTTCACACTGTGGTGGTGTTTTACTAAAGCAAACTTAGAAGTTTAAGCAGGGGCCAACTTTACAGTGACTAAGTGCTTAAAGAAACTAGTATTTTCATCCTCTTCTTTGGAGAATTATTTTGTTGTTTTTCTAAAACAACAAAAAACTGGCTTTGTCTTTCCCTTCCTTTATTTAGCACGAGTACTGTGCCTTGTGCCAAGTGGTGGCTATATTTACTTCTTTATTTTAGAAATAAACGCATCTTGGAAAGGATTTGCTTACCCTTTTCCCCCAGTCTCCCCTCCCCGGTACCTCCCCACTCATCCCCAGAAGAGAAAGAAAAAAAATCATGTCTTTAGCCATCTAAGCAGTGGGTTTCCAGAGGCACACTGATGAAGGCTAGGAAGAGATTTAAAGCAGAAGCGTTGGCAGGAAGTCAGCCCCATCTCTGTGGGTTTGGAGCTGGTGGAAGTTACACCACTGGGTGTTCAGCCTCTGGGAGAAAGCCGCCTTTCCTCCATGGCACCGGGCCCCTCTCTTGTGGGCCCAACTGAAAAACACAATCTTGGGGCAGTTGAAACCAGAGTGGAGAGCCTGAGCACCTGAAGGGAGCAATCTCATTGGCACCAGGTGCTGGTGACACCTGAGGCAGACAGACTTGTGCATCTGAAGTCGGAAGGAGAGGGAAGACACAGGGAACAAACATGGGTGGAATCTTGTAAGAGCACTTTAAGAGCAGTCAGATTCCTGAGCATAGAAGATGAGCACAAAGGGAGGAGGGTCTGTAGCTTAAGATGTAGAAAGTGTGTAAGGAGGGGTTCTTCCCTTTCTGATTATTGATGTCAGGTGATAGTGGGCACACGGCTTACTCTTGTGGGTTCCTCCGGGAGGGTGTGTGAAACGATATGGCCTTATGAGCTTTCCTTTGGAAAAAGTACACTGAGGGGATCTTAGTGTGAGAAGCTTCACTTTCCCCTCTGGACTGAGTAGAACTTCCATTTGAGCACTTGGAAATATTTGTCTTTTCTGTTTTAATAGCTAATACTAACTTTGGATTTAGTTACCTCATAGGAATAAATTATTTTTCTCTACATATATTGACTGATGGCAACATGCAGATCAAAGTTTAACCCTTTACACATCTTCTATTCACCAGTTAAGCTTATTTTTTTCTTTCCTTGAGAGTTAACCACTTTTGCAAAGTTCACCAGTTTCTAAAATGAGCTTGATATGGTGTGCTCCTCTGGACTTGGGAGATAGAACAAGCGCAGATCTGCTGTTTCTCTTTGTGTTGTGGTTATGCAGCAGATTTCAGTGAATATTTATATATACATAGGTATATATAAATTCATTCACAAGAGAAGGACAAGGGGAGGGAGAGGTCAGAAGAAGTAAAATCATCCTGTATGGTCAAAAGACCATACATTGCGTCGGCAAATCCAGCTCGGTAAGCAGTTGTTAGGGTGAATCGCAGAAAAAGGTGTACCAGTCTTGGAAGCAGTGGTTAAAAGTGAGGTATTGCACAACACTCAAAGTTGGCTGGTGTGCAGTTTTCCCTTTCCTCAAATCAGATATTCACTTAGCTGGAATCGACTGTATCTTTTTTACACAACATATAGAAAAAAACATACGTGAAACAGTGAAGTGTGTAATGCGTCACCAACACATAATGACTACTAACAATACAACACGCAGAGAGAGAAACAAGTATTAGGAAAATGGTTTAATATTGGAGACAGAAGCAAAAAACCGCATCACACAATAACATACATTACAAAAATAAGTTTGACTGTTTCAACTACACAGTTATGTTCACAATGAGGACAGAAGAATCAGAAAAAACTTTGATCTAAACAGCAAAAAAGCAAACCCCTAAAGCTTAACTAATACATTTATCCACTTAAAGTGACTGAGTACTTCTAAATCTAATTACCTTATTGTGTAACTGCACAATACAGAATAAAAAGTGAAACTTACCGCTGTATTTTAAGACAAAATTCTAATGCTAGATATAAGCAAAGGGAAAAAAGAATCAAGCCAAAGTTTTTAATTCTCAAAAGAAAAGCAACTTTCTTTCGATCAACCAGAAATCAAACTTGAAATCAGTCATTGTCAGGGGCCCACAAGAGTAGGCCACAAAAATTTCCATTTTTTTAAATCTCCAGTATAAAAAGTCCCACTGGTACAAAATGCATAAGTACAATCAGTTGTAGAAATAGGAAAGCCTGCCTTGTTGTTGTTTTGTTTGTTTTTTGTTTTTTGTTTTTGGCTCAAATTCCATCAGACAACAAAATCCAAATGCATCAATAAAACAAACAATACTCAAATGGTCTTACAGTTTCCACTAGGTTGCATTAACTTTGGCTTTTCTCAGACAATATTTAAAAACTATTTTGTAGTATTAAACAAAATGATATTATTAATCTACAAACAACAGTTCTCACAGCACAAAAACACAAATACATTTCTTTTGTGTGACATTATTCAAAAAGGTAATGAAACTACAGGTTTTTTTAAAATTTTATTTCTTCTTTTTAATTAGCACTTAAGATAATAAAAACAGAAACAGTAAAATGATTCCAGAGTAGCACAAGCCAAAGAACTATAACCCCTATGGTGAAAGAAAGATGAACTTGTCACGCCTTTAAGGACTGCCATTTGATCACATTCTGGTTGTGAACACGACTGCTCTCTACAGTCTTCCTGTGTGCTCTGCCTCCTGACACAGGCCCTCTACACCCTTGCAGCATTTTCTTTTGATATTAAAAGATGAAAGGACAGTTTGTCTTGGAAGAGGGTTATTTTTTTAAACAATGAAACATGCAAAAAAAACAAAAACAAAAACAAAAAAACCAAACCAAAAACAACAACCACAATAAACAAAAAACCAGTAAAGGACTTTCCCTCTAAATGGACTGTCTTGGTTGCCTGCAAAATCACCGACACTCAACTCGGTGTGCACACGTGGAGCCTCCTTTCAGCTGCACTGTTTTTCTCTGGGGAAGATGCAGGTGGGCAAGAGAAAAGCAGGCAGTTTGCTTCAGTGAACAAACTAGAAAAACAGTTTTTTAGATAAATGAATAGATTCTGAATGAAGTGGTCTAGGAAGTTAAGTGGTGTTTTCTTGTGTTTCTATGTATGTATCTACACATCATCATATAATAGATACATGAGAGAGACATGTGCAGTAACTTCTGTTAAGTTGAGTGCTGCAGGAAGTACAAAATAGCCCTCAAAGGATGAAGGAAGGCCCCGGCAGTAGTAAACACGTGTGAGGATAATACAAATCATTTAATTAGAAGTGCATGTGCTATAAGAAGGATTTTTTTTTTGTTTTTTGTTTTTTGCATCATTAGAGGCTAGTCCTTTCCATCCCAGGGCTATCACATCCACATAGCCACACACACACACACACACACACACACACACACACACACACATGCGCATGCACGCACACATACAAATGGAGTGGGTAAATAGGAAGGGGGAGCTGAGACCACGAAGCTTCCAGGGCCCGATTTCAGGAAGGTTAGAGTTTTGAGTTGGGCTGGGGATATAACCTTATGGTTTTTGTGTTTGTTTGTTTGTTTTCCCATCACAGAAAGTCAAAGTAATATGGCACTTTAAAAGTGGCAGCAGGAATTGGTGGTAGGTATTTGGTCAGTGACTATGGTAAAGAACAGAGCTCTGCTTACATGGCCAGTCCCCTTTAATTATGCTTAGCTGACAAACAAAATTAAAAAAAAAAAAAGAGAAAGGAAAATAGGCTTCTCATTCCAGACACCTTGCTTACACAGGAGGTATCTACAGGGGTCAGGGAATCCCAAGCACATCTCAGGAGTGCTGCATATAAGAAACAAAAGCAGCCCCTCGAGAGACCATCCCACCCCAGATCCTTCAGCTCCAAAGTATCTGAAAATACATTAGCGCATATTGCTAATTTGATCTCAAAAAGCATATGGCATTTTAAAGGTTTAGCTAGAGGCTGAATCTACATACTTTTCCCCTCAGAGGATTTACCCAATAACAGTTATTTAAACTGAAGGAACACAACACATTAGGGATTCTTAAAAAAAAAGATCAAGAATACTCTCACTAGAAGAAAAGATATTACAGGTAATTGTTTTTCTCCCTTCCATTTGGATTTCAAAGGATAAAAAAGTGGTAAAAATAAAACAACTTGGAAGATAAGAGGAAAAAAATCCAAATTAGAAATACTTCAAAACAAGTTCAAATGATGACAGTATAAAAAGTTCAACATTCCAGATAGCTCTGGGTAGAAAGGGTTAAAAGTTCACAACTTTCTCACCTTAGAGGTTTCCATATATTATGAAGAGAATACATCGTGAGGTTGCCTTCACAGCATTGATGGGCAGAGTGGTTAAAAAAGTGAGACATGGGCACTTATACAATGTCTTACAAAAACGTCATAGAGAAATAACAAACAATAACAATTTCAGGCAACAAGACCACAGAATAGCAAGTTAACAAACTTTTTAGCCTTTTTTTTTTTTTTAAATATTAGGGATTTATACAAAACACATAATAAAATACCCATGTTATCAAATTACTTCTCACAAGAAACACACTGAAGCGCTAGGAAGGAAGTACCTTTGGAATTTGGCACTATATATTTTCACTTTTTTTCTTTAAAAGAAAAAAAAATCACATTTTGCTGAACACAAACACGTCTAAATAGTCCACAATAAAAGAAAAAATGACATCAATGCTTCACAAGCCAACACAAAACTTATTCTGGAATAGGTTTTTTTTTTTTTTCCTCACATGAAATTTTTTTAAGCAAACAACTTTTTTTTTTTTAAATTCTTTTTTGTTTTAAGTAAACCAATTCTAAGCTTGTCTTATCAACAAAGAACATTAAGACCATAAGACTCATGATGAAACCACAACTTAATTCACAGAAGCACCAACATGACACAGTTTACAGTAACCTTTCTCCTGTACATTGAAACAGTATAAAATATAGGTAATTTCATGTGCATTAAACCATGGATTGTCTAACTGTGAGTCAGTTCAGCAAAAGGTGACACAAATAGGTAGCATTTGCCCCAAAACAGGGTAAATATTTTTCTTATACTAATCTACAAAAAGTGGTTCTATATATATATCTTAATGAGAAAGTGAGCCACCTAAAATGGCCTTATCAAAAAACTTTACACTGCCTGAAAAATGTAAAAACTACAGACCTCTAGAGACTTAAAATCAGACAGTTTTTTTCTCAAACTGTTTTTGGAAGTAGTCTGTTAGAAACCAACATTCTGTGTCCCTGGACACATATTGCTATTGTTACCAGTGACCGGGAAGAATGCCAATCCCTGTATAATACTTTCAAGTCTGTTTTGTGAAAAGAAAAAGAAAAGAAAGAAACATTTTTGCCACAGGTTCTTTTTTTTCCTATAATTAATTTGTCTAATTTCAGTCTTGCATGAATGCAGCAATGTTTTTCACATTGACTTCCCAGAATTCATAGCTAGATGAGGTCACATGCAATTTTCAAAGGTCAAACTAGATCAAAGGTCAGTAGGAGAACCAAATATGATGTGAGGTCAGAAAGACATCAGAAACAATGACGGGACGATGAAACTTTTTTTTTGAGACGCCACAGGGACATGCTAGGCAAACGATGAACTAACGGGCATGAAGATGTCTAGGGAAAAAACAAGGAAGAGTAAAAAGTTACACAGAATCTATGCAGCAGCAACAAAATCACTTTTAAGGGTGCAGGAGAAAAACTAATGCAAATCTTAGGTCTTTAGGGAGTCTGTGAGCCATTCACATAATTTGCATTTCTTACACTCTTTTTCCACAGCACAATGAAACCCCAAGAGAATCCATCTGGAGAGAGTGAGAGGGGATGGATTCTGGGTGTTTTGGGGTATGGGACTGGCAAGGGACAGGGAGAGGGTCCAGTTTCAACAAAGGTGACATATGGGGAAGTCAGACGGCTGAACTGTCAACTAGATAATGGAAATTACAAACAGAATAATCAGACAGATACAAACGACAAGAGGATAAAGCATGAACTTTAGGTCTAGGGTTCAACAGTGAAAAAAAGCCCATTCCTAGAACAATTCCTCTAGAGACTACTTCAGAAGGTTCTAGCTAGACAGAGAACTGCTCTTTAGGTACCCAATAAGTTAACAATAGGCAATAAATAACTTCCATTATTTCTGAGGCAGTAAAAATTTTGTATAAAAATAGAAATGCTTTTTTTACAAATAAAATTTACAGGCCTGTGGCTTTCTTTTTATTTATGTATTATTTATGTATTTATTATTATTAAATTTATCTTTCAAGAAACATCAAGTATTTTCACTCATTTTTATTTTATTTTTAAACCCTGTAGCTTTAAGAAACAGATCTCTAAATCTTTTTTTACATTAATCCTTTCTAAAAACAAAAATAAAACAATAACAAAATAGACAACCAGTGTAATAATATGACCAATATGACCAATAAGTGTCATGTTTCTTTTGAACCCTAAAATAAAATCCTACTTCTTAAACCGATGTAGTGGAAAGACGTTTTGTGTTGTTTTAAGTGCTTCTCCTGGCTTCTCCCTCTGCTAGGCCACCACGTTACTCTAAACGCCGCCGGGGGCCCTCCGGAGGGGCAGGTGGCACGGACAAAGAGGGGTGAATTCTCCAGGCAGTGCTCTTGGGGCACCAGTGGTTTCAGAGTTAGAATTGCACATTAGCTTTTGTTTGCCTTTTAAATTCTCAAGATGTCATTTATTTGTGTGTGTTTTTCTTTAAAAAAAAAAAAAAAAAAAAAAAAAAAAAAAAAGTAAAAGGAGATTCAAATTGCAAAACAAAGAATACAGTGGCACAACTGCAGGAGGAATTTACTCAACAGAAATAAGGTAGCCCAAGTTTTATGGCAAACTGGGGGATGGGTGGGGGAAATGGAGGCCTTATTGTAAAAATAATCGTCTCTCTTGGTAAAAGTTGGCAATGTGGTCCTCCTCTGCCTTCCCTGTTGAGAACAGGCTGGCTCGTGGGACTTACCCTAAGAAAGCTAAAATAAGAGCAGGGAGCCGCTGGGGTTAGGATCAGTAAGGTTTGCTGTCATTTTTGGAGCGTTTCAGCTGCACCTTCAAGCGTTTCATGCCGATCTGAAAGCCATTCATAGCTTGGATTGCAGCTTGTGCAGAGACTGGATTGTCATAGCTAACAAAACCTGGAAAATACAAAGGGAAATTAGGAGGCAGGCAAGAGGGAGAGAAAGCTTTCAGGGATGGCTGGCACAGTGTCACTACAAATGCTAACTGGCACCAGTCTCACATCTCAATTTAATACCACTGAACTTATGGTGTGTCCTGACATGCTTAAGGGACAACATTGGAAGTGTCCACTGAGTAAAAGTAGGAAAAGCTAATTGGACTAATAATTATGTAAGTTAAAACCCCTCCTCAGAAGACGAATGAGTTTAATCTTCCCGTCTGAACCCCACCCAGGTAGAGAGGCAAGCACTCCTCAGCAGCAGCAGTGTAAGTCCAGAACTCAGAGTCCCCAGAGCAGCTCCGGTGTGCCAAACACGTGAGGCAAGAAAGCCTGACTGGAAGAGGTGCACACTACCAGAGATCTTCCCTGCCCGTCATTCCAGTCCTCCACATGCATAGCTAGACAGAACCTCTATCTGCTTGGCTATAGGATGAGTAATGGATTAACACATTATTGAATTAAAAGTAATTTATAACATTCTGGAGTTATTCTGTGAAGAACCCAGGGAAATGCTAGACCTTTCTCTTTGGCTCAGTTTCCCATTCTCAAAACTCCAGTAAATTTAACAGAAAAAAAGATGGCTACCTTGTACCATTCAAAGTCTTCTTTAGAAGAATAAATGGCTTAGCTCAGGGCTTACCCATCTGAACAGAATTTCCAGTATCTTTCACTGCAGTCACCGTCAAGAAAATAGGAAGGATATGCATTTGAAAAAGAACCAGTGATGCTCTGCAGACTCAGAAACAGGAGAATTCTGATCCTAGAGTTCGTTCTAACACTGCGAGGTGAGGCCAAGGGAGAAATACAAGCAAGGGAGAGGTACAGTTTTAGTTAACGCTGGGGGCAGTGAGCTTTTATAGTTCCGGCTGACGTCTAGTGTTGAAGCTGTTACTTAGATGTAATTTCAGTTCTGAACATTAGCTGCTCAGAAGATTCTATACTGTCTCCATCTATCTACTGTTAAATTTTAAAACTAAAGAGAAAATTCCTTTACAAACTGGAAGAGAAAGAAAACGACAAATATACTTTGAGTCGAGTTGTCCCCTAAGCTGATAAAAATGCGCACACAGCATAAGGCAGAGCAGCTTTTCTCAGGCAGGCTGTCTTCCGAAGATGGTTTACTTTTATATGAAATCTTCTCCCTCTAAAATGCGATGTCAAGTCCAGAATTTCTGTTCTGACTGTTTTTTCCTCAGACAGAGTCTTTACACAGAAGTGGCAGATGACTAATGAATGTAAATGGGTCATGGGTGAGATGCACAACAAAGCCCAGCCAACAGGTACAAATCAAAGAAGGGGCTATCATCTAATGATTGGTGATCCAGCAAAGTGGGGCCCTAAGAAAATAGGTTGGTTCACTGAGAAACATGGGCTGTTAAAAGGCTTTTTTAAAAAATGAAACAAACATAGCCCTTAATAATAATAGTCTGCGTACTCTTATAGTTTACATTACTATGAACACACTGGTTAAGTTGCTTGTGGACTGATAATCTCTTCAAGGTAGTATTTTCTCAAAACAAAAAGCACAATCCTTTCATACTCTCCTAATAAGCCTAGAATACTGTCCATCTGTTAAAAAAAAGCCTACTTCAAAACCGTGTGCAGGAAAGCCTCCCAAAGGAGAGCTCCTGTTCCCATACACCCTGTGTAACAACTTACTTTCCATTGCACTCTCAGGATCCATTACAGAGGACTGTACATAGTCCTTGCACAGCAGCAATAGTGTAATGGGTTTGGGCTGACAGCCTTTCTGCTATGGAAAAAAGTGACTTGAAACAGTGGACATACTAATTCCCTGAACAACAGAGCCTCTGACCTTCATAGATGACGATGACACAGAAATTAGAAGACCACAAGAATGCAAGTTTGGAAGCCACAGCACTCTCTTTGGACTGGTTTTCCACTACCAGTCTGCTAACTTGTAGGCCTGAAGTTTCAGCTGTTTGAGAATGATCCTACCTTCAGTGTTTTTCCTTACAATATACAATTCTCTGTGTTTGTTCTGGCTTGTATCTATTTTGTGTTATGCTATTGTTACTGCCTACTACCAACATGAATTATTAAATCCTAGGAGCGATTAAAGCAAACAGTGTAACTCAAACTGGGTCAGAACTTGCCAAGTGAGTAATATGTGCTCTGAACATCCTGGCCTCTGAACTATGTTGTAGGACAAGGAGTTTGGGGGGGGGGAAAGGGAGTGGAATTAATGAAGTTGTCCCCTCAGTGTGCAAACAAGGACACATGCTGTGAACTTTCCTTAGGGAGTGGGAGGAAATCACCACAGGAGGCACAGTTGGACAGAGCTGCTTAAGGAAGTATAGCTTGACTCCTAAGCTAGCTTGGAGCAGCACTGAGAGGTTGGGCTACTTGCACAATTTCTGTGCCCTGTACCCATTCTTGTAGCGCCTGCTAATATTTCAAGCACAAATTCTGGCCCTTTAATCCCGCCAGGATCTCTGTGTAACTATGCGATTCATCAAATGCCCATTCCATGTTCATGGAATTGTGATGTGGCCAAAGCCAAACTTGTGAACATAAGTGTATGTCAAGGTACTAAGCTTCCCAGGATAATATGTGATCCACACAATAGTTTCTGAGTCACATTAAACCTGGAGGGGGATAAGGAGTTAGTTGCAAAGTGTCTGTAGTGCTTACTGTTTTAGATTAACGGAGACTAAACTACAGTCTGTTAACTGTGTTTCATCTGATAAAAGTTTGTGGTTGAATCTATAGGGCTTGAAGAAATGGCTAGTTTGTGGTTGAATCTATAGGGCTTGAAGAAATGGCTATTGCTGTATGATTTAAAATTATTAGATAAAACAGGGGCCGGGGAGATGGCTCAGTGGAATAAGCGCTTCCCTGGCAAGCGCAAGGGCC